TACTTGAATAAATTGGATGCTTTTAAATAATGTTGAATGAGTTTTACTGATGGATATTAAAAAAATTTATGAACAATTTTTCAGCAGTGGACAAATTCGGGGCTGGCATTCATAAAGGATCAAAGAAATAATTGGGTTTAATTATCCATGCCAATTTTCAAGTGTTTTTCATTCAGTTAATTTCATTTAATGAGTTTCCAACGACTGCAAACAAAGAAAACTTCAGTTAGATTCGAAAAATTCAAACTGAAATTCGAAAAATTTCGAACTGTTTCGAACTGTTAAATTTTTTAAAAAATAAATGATCGTTAGGGAATTAATAAAAATATATTTATTATAGTTATTTTTTGAAGCAAAATTATTCCTTTTATGTACCAATCGACTTTGAAATTGTAATTTTACTCTAAATTCAATAAAAACTTTTAAGAATTTATCAATTGTATCTTGACAATGTTCAAAATCGACTTCAATTTGTGCAATTACTGTATTGATGAATTTCTGTTTAAAGGAAGGATCAGAACATAAGGTAAAACAATTAAGCTGTCTATAAATAAATTCAAGAATACACAAGAAATCTTTTTTTACAGCAATATTCAATATTATGCAATTTAAGAAATTCAATCCACTTATCTTTATCCACAGAGCTTTTTGGAAGTTCAAACAAAGGTATTTTATTGGTTTTCTTTCCTTTACAACCAGTAATTACACAATTTCTGACCATTTTAAAAAAATGAAATTTTATAAATTCAATAAAGACTAAGAAATGTAAACAAATATTTTCAACGGAAATTTTAAATTCAAATCAAGTTCGAAAATGAAGTACCTATTTCCGAAAATGAGTTCTTGTTTGCAGTCGTTGGATGAGTTTCATTCAATTTTACTGCCATAGATGAAGAGAGCTTAAAGATCCATTAATTTTTTACTGTATTTATGAGTTAAAAATTGAGCTGAGCTTGGAAAATCAGAAAATGGTGGATGTGAGAGGAGGATTTGAGTTTTTGTTCAGATTTTGTTAAAGAATTACTTGTTATTTTTTGACTAATCATTAGTTTTATAAATGGATATGCAAAGCCAAAGGTTCCAAGAGATCCGATTAGATTCATTGGACTATCAAGAGTCTCTGAGCACCCCACCATCTTCCCCCCTTCATCATTTAAAAACTAAATCTTATTTAACATCTTAGCAGCCTCAAAGTGAAGTTGTCCCGACCTTAACCTTTGCTTCAGAGGCTCTGCCAGACAATAAACTTCATTTGCAAAAAAAAAAACAAACAAAAAACTAAAGTCTGAAATTTCCGTGACAATTTCCACAATGTCATATAATTCAGCATAGTCTTTAATTACCTCAACCTCCTTGCCACTAATTTCTTAACAAAACAACTCAACGTCGACATTTTAAACCAATTTCCTGCAATATTCAGTTGACATTTTGACATGAAAATCATCCAGAACTGAGACATGCAAAAAAAACTAAAATTCATCGCTACAGAGACTGTTTAATGTATTCATTGCTTTCGTGACATGCCATTTTAATATCTATGACAAAAGTTGAAAGATAGGAAATTATACGTCATTAAAATATTTTTTTTTCATGAATAGTGGGCAGTGAATGGTAAAAAAATGTAGAACTTTATGACTTTTTATTGAGGCTTCAATTTAATATTTTTAGTCGTAATAATTTTATTAAGTTTATGAGAATTTTTATGTCGGAATTTTTTCAGTTTTTGTTATTGGATGGTGAAGAGTAAGTAGAATTAGAATTAAAATTTTATTTACTTTTGCGGAGAAAATCAAGAAAAAGTTTGGAAATTTTTGGTTTTTGAAAAAAGTTCATCGTCAACTTTAATTGGAATATATTTATTGGAAGGTATGTGAACATGTAAAAACTTTGTGTGGGAAGTTATTTGCTGATAAATTTTGGAAAGTTTGTGAAAATATTAAGCTTTAAATACTTGAGTTACTATGGAATATGAAAATATCAAGAATAGCTCTTGATTATTTTATACAACTTGCTAAAATTGTTTTATTAGATGCCAAATTTTGAAGGAGGGCTGGATTTTCTTATCCAAAATTCGTTCTCGTGGTAAGAGTTCAGACTTTCTTAGACCCACTTAGAATTCTTCTTTTGGAAACACTCAAGATAAATCTAAATTTTGATGCACTTTCAATTTAATAGCTTTTTGAATAAATAAGGTTTTAACTAAGGACAAGCTATATATTTCAGCTTTTAACTTTAGAATGTATCTAGGAGGATTCGAGGGATCAACCTCAGCTCCTACCTCGATTTGAAAAATTCTCTTACATTCATAAAATAAATTCTAGCTTTGTCTTTGCTTTCAGATAGTCCAGCAGTGTTTGACAACAAGAATTCTATTTCCATACACTTCCATACAAAGACTTTTCAAAAGTCATCTAAAAAGAAAATCTAATTTAATTTCTGAATGTAAGATGATTAAGAAGAATTGCAAAATAAAATTAGATTTCATAAAATTTTCAATAAATTGCAATTCTGCACAGATTTATTGCATCATAAAACATTCATAATATTCAGTATAAAAAATTTTTTATTGAAAAAGTAATTTTCAAATGATTTTTATTGAATTTTTGTAAGCTTTTTCATGAGAATTTTTTTTATTATAAAAATATTCGCTGGATATATGTTTTGATTTACAGATAATAAATCATGTTGTTACTCAGTAATCGTACAGATTCAATAAAAATTGACCAGTAAAATTGAAAATAAAAACAATTTTGTAGAGACTTCAAATAAAATATTTCTTGGGGTAGATTTTGAATTTTTCAAGTAAGTTTATATTTGTTGTGTATTAGTAACGATTTTCAAAGTTGCAAGCATTAAAATATGATAAATTATACCTGTCTCAACCAGCCATACCCAAATTAACCGAAAATCTAGTTGCTACTTACTTTTAATTGATTGTGCCGTTCTTCTAGTTCATCAATATTAATCATCATAAATTCCAACTTTTTTTCAAACTTCCTCTTATTTCGATCCAACAAAACTTTCTCAACTCAATCAAACACCCATTTTATTGACATAAAAAAAAGTTTTTCCTATCCCAATCCTAAAATCGGCTTACAGATAAGCTCGCATGACCCCATAAAAAATTTATTATTCATTTTTCTGTGACAGAATATTAATTAATTCCTTTTTTTTTTGAAATATATAATTTTGTTAATTGAAATTTCCCAAAAAGGCTAATTATTCCTTCACATTACGTTGATTTGCATGTGAGATTCAGGGATGTAAAAAGATTCAAAGTTGTGTGATTGAATAGAAGTTTGTACAATTAAGCAGTGTGAGATAATCAAAGAAAGAGTTTGGAGGGTGTCAGATTGTATCAAATTGTTTTGTCAGCTAGTATATCTGAAGACGGTTTCTAGAGCATTGTTTATTAAAATTTACAGGTAAGGGAACAGCAAATCTTTCGCTGATCTTCTCGTTTGTTCTAGAGATGGTTGATATACCCAAGGAAGCCTCAAGCTATCTCAAGTAGTCTTGGAAACCAGATATAGTCATAGCTCCTTTGTTAACTACTAGCAAAGGTAGAACAAGACCAAAAAAGCTGCAATACTAAGATTTAAATTATCATCGACTGAACAACGAGCTCTTCGAATTAAAAAGCTCATCATATCACTTTAAACCCAACAACGCTGAACATCCAATGCAATAAAATTTATTAAATCAACGTCCGTGAAACAATCTAAACCGTAAGTAGCAATTTACTCCGGCTGTAATATTGAACAATAATGGAACTTAGGGATTGTTTCCGTTCGGAAACACATTTGCATATCAATATCACGATTTATATTTGATTACATACTGCTGCCTATATAATTTTGAAAATTATTTTCCTTTCCTATTCTGAAGAATTTAACCTGTCAAGTGGACATTAATTTGTGGTTTTTAGATTGTAAGTTCATTCAAAATTAATGAATCTAGCTTCCGCATGGTTAAAAATGCTATTAAAATTTCATAAAATCACAAAACCCTGGGAAAGCTTCATATGTAGCCACAGAAGTCAAAAAACTTTTATTTAATGGAAGGGATTCATCATTTCAACAGCATTAAAAATTATTTCAAAAAGCTTTTATGTCGCACATAAAAAATTATGAAAGGAACCTTCTGTTGATATACAAACAGCTTAAGCTAATAAGTCTCTCTCTTTTTCATATGGAAATGACTTAATCTCTATGTTAAAATAGTTCATTTATTTAATGATGATGTTTATTTTATTCATATTCTAATTAAGGGGCTCCCATCTCATCAGCAATCATCATAATAGCTAACACTTCATATTTGCCCAGCTGTAATATTTCTGAGTGTGTTTATGCTGATGCCTATTTTATCATCGCTCAAGTGCCTTTTCAGAAGGCATGGGAAATTCTTTTCTTTGTTCTTAATATTTTTTTTTGGGTCTGTTTTGTGTTTTATTAATTTTTTATTTAACTTTGTGGCTGTTCTGGAAATATTTCTGTTAATTTTATTATTTGACACATCATTTAGACTAGAAAACTTAAGAGGATGGTATCTTAAAAATTATAATGGCAATGAAACTATTGTCAGATGTCTAAAAATACCCGCACATGCAATAGATTCACAAATAGACGTTCAGTAGGATGCAAAATTAATTGTTTGACAAGTTCTTGAAACGTTTGTCAATATTCTCTAATACTTAGAAGTTAATTATGGATGATATAAAAGAGGTTGTATTGCTTAAAAATTAAATCAGGGCTTGTCAAACTTAAGGATGAAGCACTTTTCACAAATGAATAGAATTGAACTTTTAATTATTAAAAGCTTCTTAGTAGGAATTAAGCATCTAGTTATTTGATTAGTAAGTTAAATAAGGTTGAGCAATCCTGCTTTCGAGCATTGTAAAAGGTTAAGTGCATAATGTTGACAAAATACTTAAAAGTCAAATGACTCGTTCGCTCACAATATAAAAGAACTAGAATTTTGAAGACATGAAGCAGTAATCATTAAATTCTAACAGATTCGAGACATGCTTTAAAATATAAAAATCAGAATTTATATAAGCAATTCCATCAAATGGATTCAAAAATATTCTATATTGTAAGTTATACAGAATCTAGTCAAACTCCTTTGATCCTCAAAATTTACATATTTTCTCCTCACAGCTCTCAATCTTCTTCCTATCTACTGCCACAGCTGAGATACCAAACAAAGCTCTAAAATGCTCAGACTTCAAACCAAATGTTTGCGGACCAAACGCAAATTGTTATGAACGTGATCACAATCGGACTGTTGAAGTCTTCGGCGGTGCTTATTGCAAATGTGATGCTGAATTTTACGGAAAGCCACCAAATTGTGCAAGAATTTGTGAGTTTGATTGCAAAGCTGATAAATATTGTGATTCGAATGAAAAGCTGTGTAAGAAAGGATGTCGATCACATGACGAGTGCCAAAAAAATGAAATTTGTGCATTCGATAATCAATGTAAAGTTTACTGCCGTTCCAATATAGACTGTGAAACTGATGAGATTTGTGACAGTGATCAACAAAAGTGTCTAAAAATCTGTGAATGTAGTTCATGTGGGAAGAACTCAGTCTGTGAAGCTGCTGATCATACAAAAATCTGCTCATGTGCTAGTGGATATTACCCAAAAGGAAGCAAAGGATGCAGAAGAAGGAAGATTGTTGGTTTAAGCAAAGATGATGAATTGGATTGTAGTAAATTTTGTGGAACAAACAGCTTGTGTACAGCAAAGGAAGATAAGATTAGCTGCTTTTGCCCAGCGAATATGAATGGAAATCCATTTAAAGCTTGTATGACTTACTTACCTCCTCCACAGTTTATTGTTAAACCAAATCAGGAAGATTTTGTGTTATCACTTGCTAATGTAATTGGTAAGCACTAGGAACTGGTGTGTTGACTTAAACATACCTGAATATTGACATTTATTGCTTAAAATAGTCACTAAATTTAAGAACAGTAATGAATAAAATACAATTAATTTTAAACGTGTTTGAGAACTCTTTTCTAGATCTACAAAGATTTCTTTGGTGAAATTTTATAGTTTTAACGAGAAAATTATAAAACTCACTTTACAAAAATTTAAAAATTGCTTCCAACATTTTTATTAAATTAACCACATTGCAAATTAAATTAAACAATTTATCAACTGTGTTTTCCACACAATAATGTCACATACCATGAAATAAAAATTGAGCTCATTATTGTGTGCTCATTTAATTAGTTTATTAAAATTCAATTTAAATCCTCAGGCATGCAGCAATGCGAAAAAAAAGTTGGCAAAAAGAGCTTTCAGCTTCCAAATGAGAAGCTGATTATTATTAATTGGAAAATTAATGATGAAAAAAGAATTTATTGTAATCGAAAATCAATTTTAATTTGTTGGAATTAAATTTTTATTGCATGGATGGAATTTCTTTGCATTAAACTTCAAAAGTTTTAAAACTTGAAGCTGAAAATGTTCGATTTGTAGCAATTCAATTTTAATGCAGCTCAAGGTGAAATTTCTCCAAAAATAGATGTCAATTTAACCTCAATTAATCTACCAAATAATTCCATTTTAATGATGTCAAGCATTTAAGCATTTTCTCCCACAAAACAAGCAATTAATCGACGAACAAAAAGGCACACACAAAAAATTTGTTGACAAAACAATTAATTAATATTGTTTCCATATCTACTCATTTATCTAAGCGACGATATTCCTCAACAATCATCAAACTAAACTTCAAATATTTATTTAAGTCAACAATTTTTTTTCCTTATTTGTTATTTTTGGCACAAAGCATGAACAGCAACACAGCATTTTTTGTATTTCTTCTTTATCTTCTTAAATTTTTGGTAAATTTGAATTTCACGTTAATTAACAAGGCGTGTACATTCAAGTACTGCAAAAAATAAATAATTTAAAAAGTACTCGTGCTGTGAGGAGTCAGACGAGACTTCATCATCAATCTTTAAGTGCACGCCTTCAGTTATAACTGTACATACAACTTTGTATGTGCTGAAATTATTTCCTATTAATTAACTTTAATTCTTGTGTCAATAGCTATTTTATTTGAGGTTCTTTTTTTGCAGTCTGCTAAATTAGTTATTGATAAGTTTGATTGGAAGGCTAATGAAGAATTTTGCACTGTGAATATATCGACTCAGCGAGAAGCGGATGGAAATTTGGTGTTTAATTATTCAATGTCACAATGCTGTGATTTTGAAAAGCAATTTGTAAGTATCATTAGGTTTTCAATATTAGGTAGGTTGTGATCATGCATAAACTTAAACCTTATAAGTTTAATTGATTTAATATTTAATACTTTTAAGTTCTACCTAACTCTACGTTCAAAGAAGACTAAGGACGACGATTCATTTAGCAATCTACTATTTCGAACAACGATTGATGTTTGTAAAGTCATAAAAGGTGCAATGAGCAACTTTATTGTAAAGATTATTATGGAAGGCGTTCGGAAAAGTACTGATTTTGCGTTGGAGTGTCCTTTTAAAAAGGTATGGATTTGACTGTTTTTGAACACATTCTGGTTGGCACTGCATAGAAGCTTAGACTCCGATATATAGTCGTATTTTGATGGGATAACGTCAAAATCACGAGGACTCACCATTTTGACCTTCCTAGGCTCATTTTGATGGCTCAGAAAGAGGTCAAGAGTTAAATGAGCATATCCAAATAATTGTTTTTGAGCTCGAACTCGCCAACCTCCATTTCTCATCTCTGAAAAAAAAATCTACAATTTGCTAGAGTTTTTTGAAGAAGCTGTTGACAGAGACAGTATTGCATTTGGTATGGGTAATTGGCAAACGGGAGCCAGTGATAGAGCCAGCTCCAGGCACCATCTAAAGAAGGATATGGATCACAATTGATCTGTAAGATCAGCGAAGTAAGTAAGTAAGATTGCTTCTATGGAGTACCAACATGTGTGTGTTCCAGTCTATGCTTTTAAAACTAATTTTGGAATTCTTAATATATTTAGTTTAATTTCATTTGTTAACATTTTTAGAACACTTACAAGTTTGTCAACTTTAAAGCTGATCTTAGCATGATGCCTCCAATTTTTCATGGAGAACATGGTCTGTTGATAATCGGAAAACTGATGGTCAAAGTAACTGGCAATAAACAAATTGGACATGCTCTTACTTTGAATATTTATTTCAAAAATATTTGAATTTTCAAGCAAGCTTCTTGGGTAAATAATTTATAGGTTATGGCAAATATGAAATGAAAAGCTTCGCTATTAATTTAATAAAGTTATTATTTACAAGATTTACTAACTCTATAAAAATAAAATAAAACAACTTTATAGCTTAGCTTAAGTTATTATAAAGTTGACCTTAGTGCAGATAAAATTGGATTTAGAAGCAATTGAACGCTGAGCCACAAAGATGCCTCTCCTCTGGAAAAATATCTTTCTGTGTTGCTGGTTGCTCACAAATGAGTTTTGCTCAAACTTGAATCTATATCACTGAATCATAAAATGATAAAAAATTCTGACATCATTTATGAACGTCTCCTTGATGATTATAAATTACCATCAAGAATGTTTAATAATCCTTTGTTTTCACAATAAAAATGACTCAATAAAGTTGCGAATTTCCTGTATAAATGCCAAAAATAAGCACTCTACCCACACTAATCTTTATACAAAGGCTACAATCAGTACACTTAAAAAATATTTATAAACAATCATAATTTTCTGAATTATCCACAAAATAACAATAACATTTTATATCCAATTCAACACTTTTTTCAGTGCCTTTATTTTTTGTTGGCAGAAATAAAAGTTTAATGAACTTTTATGGAGTTATCATTTTATTTTATTTTATTATTTTGTTGAAAAAATTAAATGCATTTACTAAACTTGTTGTGTTTGGACAATAAAATGAGTTTTTATGTTTTTGTATTCAAAACTAACATAAAATGCAATTTTCAAGTACATAAAAAAAGTCTAACAATGAGTAGAAAGTTCTGATGTTTTATTGCCTTTTGTTGGAGTTTGTCTTTGAATTTTGGTGAGGTTTTGATGTTGATTGAGTTAAAGTATATGTCATTAGACATAAGAATCCAAAATATTTAGATTTTGTATCAAATCTCATAATATTTGAAGGATATACACCCTAAGAATCAAGAATTACCCAAAAACTCCTGCAACACCAGAAAAAAAAAATGAATTTCAAAAGCCAAAGATCAACTTTCAAACACCATCCACTTCAAAAAGTCAAACTATGTCACCATTCATCACTGCAAATTGAATTCTTTATTTAATTTAGTCATTCCATCATCGCACTAGCAAAAAACATCAAAAATAATTGAAATTTAAATTTTTTTCCAATCCATCTTCTTCCATCAAAACTTTATTCCGAGAACTTCGTTGATGATTCAAAAGTTTTGTGTATATTTTTACATATTTTAATAGCTTCTTTTGTTTCCAAGAACATTCTTGTCTGTCGATTCAAATAAGAGCTTTGAAGCAAACGAATTTTAATTAAAAGAAACGTACAAAAATTTCTGAAGTATTGAAGTTGTTGGCGATGGAGACGAATAGTTATTAATTTAATTATTTTTCAAGTGACTTGATTCGTTTAATTTTTTGTCTGGATTCATTCAGGCGAATTTATTGTTGATCAATGCACTGGGACAGAAGAATCTTATTGGAATTAAATGAAGCATCTGAAAGGTTGAGGGTAGATTCATGAGCAGAGTCATGAGAAATGATTTGGATGATTTCGTTTAAAATTGAAAAATTACTAGTTTTTAAAATTTAAATATAAAAAAAATCAAAAACTTCTTTTATATCCTCAAAAAATTCAAATTTAAATAAGCAAAAAAAGAATAAATTGGAAAATTTTAATTTAAAAATTTTGAAAAATGAACATAAATAATAGAAAAATTCAAAAAAATTCAAAAAAATTAAATTCATAAAAAAACAAAAAAAAAATTAAATTCATAAAAAAACAAAAAAAAATTAAATTCAAAAATTTAAATTTAATAAACTAAAATAAAAAATCATAAAAATTCAAAAATATTGAAATTTTAAAAAAAATAAATTTTAAAAAAATTGTAAATTACAAAAAATTAAATTTGAAAATGTAAATTTAAAAAATCAAAATAAAAGTATTTTTTTATTTCATAAAAATTCGACAAGCCAATTCCAATATGATATAATAATTACCGCATGACATCTTCTTCCACTTAGTTCCTCCTCAAAACCCAAAACTTCCATCTTGTCCTCTTAACATCAAAATAATTAATAATCAATACACAAAAGCATGTCATTCTGTGCTCCAAATTTCCAGATGCCAAACATCAGATAAGCAAAAAAGCGAACTGTTCAAGCATTCAAACACAAAACACATCGGATGTGACATAGATTCATGCTAATTTTAATTCCCTGATTGAATTTTATGTGACACTAATTTAATATCAACCTGTCACATCGTGAATTTCTAAACTTATAAGTTGTCAATCTCATCAAATGTATTTTTTTTTTATGAAAATTAGCAGCTGAATCATGCAAAGTCATGAACTAATTTTGACTGTGTCAATTAAAAAATATTCAAATAAACTCGTCTCGATCATATCTCGTTATAAAATAGTCCGAAATATAAAAAATATATTGCCTTTTAATATTCACATTTTTCAAATTATGATCCTAATGCGAAGATAAATGCCCATTCATTATGGAAATTTAAATGTTTCCAGCAACAAGAAAAGAATTATGGAAATAACAAATTTTCAAATCAATTTCTAATTATTCTAATATGATTTTATTGTATTGTTTTAATGCTTCCCAGCTGCTTTATGAGTGTATAAAATGTGATCGCAATTATTCATTCGTTTTCAGTCTGAGTTTATTGCACTTCGTAGGAACAATGAGCTGCTATTTCACATTTATTTTCCTCTTTATTTTATATTATGTCAAAGATACAGTATGGGATTCAATAGAAATTATTGGGGGATGGGAACTGTTGTGAATTAAAGTATATGTATAGATTAAAGTGCTAGCTGAAGTGGCTCGGAAGCGGAATGTACCTAATTATTACAATATCGATACAGCGATCATGGGTTCGAGACTCTGCATGGGAAATTATCTCATGTTTATTTTTTGAATCATATGTACTGGAAATGAGGCTCATAGCCTTCCTTTGCAGGTTACAGGCAGAAATATCATCAAAGGAGTGGTTCTGATCTCACTGTAATCTGTAGGTCAAGATTTGAGCGATAGGTCTGATGAAACCTCTTTCCTACGACTATCATTAGCTTTGTAATACATATAACGAGCAGCTATGAATCTTAAGGTCTGAACAGCTATTGTTATATTTAAAGACTAAAGTGTTTATCATTTTTTTAAGGTTAGTGTGGTGTAGTTGCATACCCCTCGGAGTTCAATATAGCACAGCTTTCATACTTAGGCTCAAGAACCTGATTGTCAAGTTTCAGCTCATTTTGTCACAACTGACAGTGACAGCTGATTTTTTAGAAATTAATCAAACTTGGAGCTAGATGTTCATTGTTACATAGTTGCATACCCCTTTAAACCAAAAATGGCTGTCCGTTTTAAATTTTAAGTACCATAAATGCTAAATTTTGTATAAGCGATATGTACATCAGTAGCTACTAATGCCCACAACTTATTAAAGAGGTAACCCATTCCAAAAATTCACTATCCGAGCTGGTATGAAATATGACAATTACTAGTGTCCCCAACTTACATTATAATACCCACAAAGTTCCCATCCCCAGCCATTGTGCATAAGCACAATAAAGTTATTCAAAAGCAAACACTCGATGCAGCACAATGGATCGGTATTTGCATTCAAAAACATTGTTTTCATTGGCATTTTTCCAGCTCGAAATACTTGTAATAGATAGGTTTGATTGGCATGCTAATTCCGATTATTGTTCGATGAATATTACTACTTGGCGAAATAAAGATGGAACCTCACTTATAAATTGTAGATTTGAACAGTTTATGGACTTTGAGAAAGAAATGGTAAGTCATCATTTTAATAAGTGCGAAGAAGAAAAGTTCAAAAGATCAAAATGCAATTTATAATTTTCACTTCATTTCTTTTTTGTTATTTCTCATTTAGTTCTTCATCACATTGAAGTCTCAAAAGAGTAAATCCGATGATGGGTATAGCAATTTAATTTTCAAATCCACAATTGATGTCTGCAAATTATCGCAGGGCGTTGTTGCTAACTTTCTTGTGAAAGTTGTGCTGGAAACAATCAAGGATCATGCAAATTTTACAGTTTCGTGCCCTTTTAAGAAGTTAAGTGTCAATTCCATTCATAGAAAGGTGGCAGACGAACAGCCAGACATATTTTAAAGCTTCTTGCATCTTCTCGATAATAATTAAATTAATGTTCCACATTTTAGGACGTATATATGCTGAGAGAATTCCAACCAGTTGGTGATTTCGTTCCCACACCATTCCAGCAATTCAAACTGGCCGTGATTGCGAAGCTGATGGTGAAAATAAAATCTCAAAAATCTTTTGTACATGCTTATACGCTCAACACTTATGTCCATTTCGAGTAAATATTTTATTTGTTAAATTGCTGACATTTCAATGCCACTTCATCAATTATTCTCAATCGCGTCATATTGACTCACCACTTGAAACTTAATGAACCAGAAAAAAAATATAAAATTTTTTCCTCCATGCCTATTTAAAATTAATTGAGGAGACCGTCGCCAGTCTCTCGTATTGTGTGTGAATAATACATAAACTCAAATGAATTTGCTACAACACGTGCTTTTACACAGTCTGGTACATGAAGTCACTGAATGGCTACACAATGTAGGCTCAATGCAGTATGAATATGCATTCTTTTATAAAGGCAAATATTGAATAAGAGAAAGAGAAACAGAGAAATGGTACATAATAAAATCATTTTATATCAATTTGTTCAATAAACTGACTACACAATTCGAATGTATTGGCACTTTATAACTTCATTTCTGTTGAAATAAAGAAAATTTTATTTAATACTTTTTTTTTTACATTCAAGCTGTTCAGTGATCAGAGAAATGTGTTTTTGATGACTTAGGGTGTGTGAGTGAAGATTTTTTGGTATCAGATTGAGTCATAATGAAAGATTAAAATGAAAAAGTTTTTACGGACTTTTGAAATTAGAAAAAAGATGCGAATCATTTGTGAGGCTTTTCGGAATGATGCAGAAAGGATTTGTAGGGTATTGAGAAAAGATGCAGAAGGAATTGTAGAGTTTTGAAACATTTTATTAATTAAATTGGCACAAAACTTAAATATTGCCAATTTAAAAGGTAAATCAGACACAATTAGAGACAGCTAGCTTTTATATTATCAAACAAGTCTGTTAAAA